AACAGGACTAAATGAGGTCAGATTAAACTAATGTGGAGAGGTTTCTTGATCTCTTTATGAAAATGGATGATTTACATCTATCATATTTTTAAGAGAAATGAGACTTCAGTCAAAAGGGGACTTTGACAGTGCATATTCTGCAGTAATGGACATTGGCTTCAATGCCTATCTGGGGAAATTCATAGTTTTCTAGCCAGGGGTTTGGCTGTGCCAATTTTAAGGCAAACAAATCATATATCAGTCACTTAGAAATTTTATAACTCTCACTGGAAGCTCAGCACTCTAAAGGAACATGACAATATTTCACCTGATCACTCCTTATATATATATTTTTTTTCAATAAAATTTGTACAAAACTAAATCAATAACTTTATTGTAATTGTAAATAAGGTATAGACACAAGTTGCTTATAGCATAAGCTAGTTGAGGCAAGTTGCAAGGAGAGAACAAAAGATTGATCATTTATACCAGTAGTAAGCTTTTGGTACTAGGTAATTACATTCTCTTGAATACCAGCTAAGCACATTGAATGTCACACCTATCCATTCTGTCAATAGAGTGGTTTAGCAAGAGGACGGGAACGTCATTTCAGAACGGCTTCTCCGCATGTAGTGAACTGGTTTAAAAGCTATCTAACGGGCCGATCACAGTCAGTTCGGATCAATTCCTATCACCCACGGAGTCCCTCAGGGGGGCAATTCTCTCACCATTGCTATTTTGCATTTATCTAAACGATCTGCCTCGCGCGCCTCAAGTGTGTGGTCTTGAATTTCAAGGTCTTCCTGTCCTTTTCTTTACCTGACGTAGACACAGCGATTGCAAACCTAGAACAAGACCTACTGCGCGTCGCAGCTTGGTGCTGTGAAAATCAGCTGTTGATAAACCCAGACAAGACCAAGTTTATGCTCATCGCAACTAGGCAGCTGAGGAGGAGGTTTTCCTCTTCTCCTGTGGTGTCTTTTCTGGACAAGTCCTTAGAACCAGTCGCGTCAGCGAAAGATTTAGATGTTACCCTGGACTCTCACCTCACATATGACTGCCATATTTCCAACGTTGTGTCCTCCTGTATGGCAAAGCTATGCCAGATCAATCGAGTAAAAAATAGTTTTGATGGGAGAACGCCCGAACAATTAATATCATCGTTAGCCTTAAAAATGCTGTACTGTTAGACAGTGTGGTCCAACACTTCTACGACCAACATCAAGAAGTTACAACTAGTGCAAAACTTTGCTTGTAAAATTGTTACTAAGACTAGAAAGTTCGATCATGTGACCCCTCTATTACGCGAACTAAACTGGCTCTCTGTAGATCAGCTTTTATTTTTCAAAGCCACTGTCATGACTTCTAAATGCATGAACCATCTTGCCCCTAGTTACTTGAGAAGTAAGTTTGTTAGGAGATCGGACATTCATTATCGTAGGAAACGAAATCGTGGAGCTCTACACTGATCCATTCTTTGGGTCAGCGTCTGGTCAGCGGTCCTTTGCCTTTAGAGGGGCGAGGCTCTGGAACAATATATCTCCTGAATTTGACAGTGTGCCTCCCTAAAGGTATTTAAGGAGAAACTTAAGAGTCACATTCTTGCAAACAGTTATTAGTTTTGATATAATTAGTGATATTAATGTAAATAGTCATTAGTTTTTGATATTATTGTTCTGATGAAGTTATGTAAATAGATGCTGAAAAGCCCCTTGGGGAGTACCTATTAAAGTTTTCTTTCTTCTTTCTTTCGTCCCTATTAAAGTTTTCTTTCGTCTCCTCACTATTCAAAGCTGAAACAGCTTCTGGAGGCCTCTTCACCCATTCGGTTGATCTCTCTGAAGATTTGAAGTTCACTTGATGACTGTATTGAAAAGTGTAGGACTGAAATTTATAGAGGCTACCATATTACACCTTTGAATCTCTTTCATGGATCAAAAACAGCATCGACTCAACTTTAAAGCTAAATATATAACTTGATTGATGTTTGGATCAATTTCTGTAACGTACAAATATATTCTAGTTCTAGCTTGTCTTCGTTAAAATCAAACTTTCGCCGCGCAAGAAACAGATAGTAGACAAATTTAGTATTTCAGTGGCTAGAGTTGCCAGGATAGAGGACAGTTGGTTTTATTTGCCGTTGCAGCAGAGGTATTTCCAGAGGTATTTCCAGCCAGAGCAGTTGAAAGAGGAGAATTTAAACATGAACACAAGTTACAAAGTGACCTAGCTTTTTAATTTTCTTCGCTTATCGGAGGAGTTTGACACGTTAGAGAAAAACCGTTGAAGTTAACAGTCCTAAAGAGGGACGTCAAGAGAGGGTATAAAAGATGCCAATACGATTCTGGCATATTGTTTCACTGACTACTGATCTCGCGTGTAAACCCTTTAATCAACTTGTGATATCTAGATCTTAACTCGTAGTCGTTTACCGTCGTTTCATTCAATCTAAACCAAAATTAACAAACACGCGCAATAAGACATCATTTCAACCGATACTAAAGTAATACACGACATCTGAAGAAAACATTCTATATCCTGGACAATCCGTTCAACCACCAGTTACTTGAAAATACCGCTGACTAGCATGCTTGTTGATATGTTGATCGCTTTGCAAGTTCGGAGAATATCGTCCCTCCAATCCACACCTTAACTCTTCGACAACCCGAGCATAGGAATTTTAGTATGTTGAAGGGCTGGAAAATAAACTGACTGGAGCTCCTTTCTAAGGTTGGCTTTTAGGCTAAGCTATATAATATTTGCATGATGGGAACAACTCGTCGTAGCAGGGGTGAACTTGTTGTTGAACTTTCAATGGGGCGAAGCCTCTAAAAACCACAAAGAATCATGGGAGTTAAGCCTGAGGAAGAGAAATTGTGTATTTGACTTTTGTTGACCTTTCACATTTTTTAAGAACAAAACAACAGCTCAGCATCAACAAATTTTATTCGACGGCCGCTATACGTTTTAGGCTTATCCACCACACTGAGACAAGGGGAATCTCACTCAATACAAAACTACGCTGTTACTTTCAAGCTCACCACAAACGATTAATTCAACTCAAACAGTGTCTAGCATCTAATTTCTCCTTACAGTGCAAACCTTAATGAAAATTTAAGAAAACGCGAATATAGTAACTGATCACTAACTTAAGAAGCTCTTGACTGTTAAACCAATTCTCCATGTCTGTTCCTTAGGAAACGCACAGAGAACAATAAGGAGAAAATGCACTCTAATTTCAATCTGTGAGGTATTAAATGAGATGCTTCAGGGTGGTAATGTGCTTCACATGCTCTGGACATTCGAGCTGTGACGAAAGGTTTTCGCTCGCTAAACTGGACTTCGCGGGAAACGTACAATAATGGGGAAAATAAATCGGTAGAGACCACTCGGCTTGCGAGAACGAAAACTCGTCACGATTTCCTGGCACACGGCGATCTACTTCAAATGAGCTTTTACGAACGTGAAGGATAAGACAGCATTTTGGTTCCACAGTAGACTTTTATTCGTACGGCACTCTAACATACATCATGCCAGAGTCAAAGCTGAACTTGTAATCGGCACGCAGTCGTCTATGTAATCGAAAAAGCCTTACAAAGTACTTACTTAAATATGAACTGGTGTGAGGTTCCATTGTTTTCTAAATCTACCATATTTGAACAGTATAACAAAAGAAGCGGAAAAGGTCTCTTTAAAGTTGAACCAAAACTACTTAAATATTCCCATCTGTTTCTACGACGGAAGAATTTCAAAGTCAAGAAAGCGGATACAATAAACTCGAGGCCATTTAAAACAAGAAACTTGGGTGAGAATTCACAGCTCTGATATTAAAAATATATCTATCTTAGCTACAATAGAGCAGCTTAGGAAATAAAAGTGGAAAAGCCATTAAAAATTTCTGCGTATCTATGCAAGGTCAGTGTGGGAACTATCGTATGAGAGGAAATTAAATTGTGAGCACAAACTCAGCTGCCGACTACCATGAGAACCAATTTTCCAGAAAGACCATTAACACTTATATTTACCTAAAAATTTCACTAGTAATGGTGAACAAAAGTACCGACATGCAGACGTACAATGACAGCAAGCAACAAAGCAAAAATCTTTCAGTTTACTACTTAAAAACTACCATGGTTTTTTATAATTTTTTTGACTTACTGGAATGAAAGAACTGAATGAAATATGGAAAGTTTACGAATAAAGATGTCCCAAATAAACACACGGAAGAATCAGTAAATTTTCCCGTAACAGAGCGAATCCCGACATCAATGTTCTTTAGCCTGCGGTCCTTGGGTGCAAAAATACGCGTAAATATCTATTCTCTAAAGCTAATCTATCTTATCTTCGAGCGCAAAAGGAACGACTCATTGAACGCGAATGCTCGATACAGACACTTTTTGGAGCACTAACAAAGACAAATGACGTAATAGATAAGAGAAACTAATCATTCTTTATAATATAAGACTAAGGAGAGGTATTGCCTACAATCTCTCGCAACAAAACTGTTCTGCTAGACGTTTACATTTCACCAATTTGTGACACAAGGCATTGTACAAAACTGTGTAAGTGGCTTTGCTGCCTTGTCCTTGTTTCCAAGCCAGTAACATTTTAAAAGCCTTCGCTTCTAGCCCCTCATTGGCTTTATCAAAGCGAGTTATTGCAGCTTGGTTGAATTCCAGGCGTCTTCCTAATGCCTCCCATTTTTCTGCAAGTTCCAGAGACAGATATTCTAACTCGCAATCTGTTGGTTCACCATCTTTAACCGTAGGGATATCTGAGGATAACAATGGAGGGAGAATAAAAAATTAGAAAATGGGTGCTTCAAGGCTTTGGCGAATAGCGAACAGTTGTGGCGAAAGGGGACTTCTCTTTTTTGTATCATTCAATACCGAAAAAGGATGTCTAATAAATATAATGCCAGTCTCTCTGCATAAACAAATTTCACAATAGATAAACGTGTAAAAGTAATATGCAAACTTAATGAAAACACAAAATTTATGGCAACATTTTCAATCTCGGTATCTTAAATAATTCAAATTGATCGATAAAAATCGGTAAAATTTTTCGCACGTGCAAACAAGTATGCGGATCGGATTTCGAAGTGAATATGCAAATTTTCAGCGTGTGGAGAGATCTGAAGTTAAATAGAAATAAGAAGCAAGACAAAACTGGCCAATGAACGTTTCGGAAGAAAGCGTTATTCAAAACAGTTATTGATTTTCTGTTAGAAGCGTAAAACGTGCGAATTTCTTACGAGTACGAAACCTACGAAGTAGAATCATCATGCTTAAATTGTTGTTTACTTCACGGCTGGAATATTGCGCAGCGTTATGTTGAAAATACTGAAAGGTCTACGTTTTGACACAAAACCTTCCATTAAACAATTCTTTTTGGACATGTCATCATTCAAACATGATATTTACCGGGTCATGGAATCTTCATAATGTCGCTAGGCCTCGCTTGAAAGTTCAGTTTCCACTCTACGGCCCCGATTCGCACAGCTTCAGAGAATCGTAGTATTGTTGACTCGAAAGCTTATTTTGTCGCTTTTAAGACCTTGATATCCATTATTTTCCTAGCAGATTATTCTACAGCATTTCTAATTTTCATTCTGTGTTCCAAAAGGTCTAAAACGATCGGAAAGGAACAGAAAATCCGACTTGGAGATATTGAAAGTCTGCCGCGCGGACACCATTTTTTCATATTTGATCATTTCTTGTGAACGCATAAAATGAAGCCTTTCTAGTACCCCCTATAGTCGTCAAAATAACTGCGCAAAACACGGATTCTGATCGGTTTATAGATCCTCTGACAACAGAGGAACTTTGAAGACAAAATTCTGTTTAGTAGTAGTAGGGGAGACGGGGGGAAAAGCGTCTCCCGCGCGACACGGGCGGTTCAGGTGTCAATGGATTAGAGAGTTCGAAATTACATATTCTAAAATGTGTGATTTTTTAATCCAAAAATCTTTAAAAATTTGAAAATTTCGAACGTTGATTTCATTAAAATAAAATTAGTTAAGAAACGAGTTGAAAATATTGTTATCAAATTAAGCAATTAAATGATACCACGCCAAGAGTTGCATGCAGGTAATGCGGCCATCAATTCAAGCGTTCAAATGCCCTTTCCACTTTTTTTGTAAAAGGTAAAATCAGCAACTGCGACTTTCTACAAATTGATCAGGCATAAAAACCTAAGCCTTGTAGACCTTTTCTTCCCAACCATTCTTTGACGAAAGTGAACTGTTTACCTTAAACAACTCCAAATTTAAGAATATGGCACTAACTTGCATTTCACTGGAAAGTCTTAACACTTCTGGTTCATATTTCCCACCTCAGCCGGGCAGTACAGAAAAACAGGGGGTTTTGCTAAGAACAGAGTTGTTACCATTTCACCAGAGAAAACAGTTGGATGACAGTTGAGGTAAATGAGGTGCACGAAGATCCTAGTCGATGTTTTGGTATTTCACAGAAAATCTCAAAGATCTCACTTTGCCTACGAATAGTTGTGATACAAAATGGCAGGATGCCCTCGCATTGCTGTACGAATTTTTGAATTTGTGCGACAATAACACTAAGTAGAAGAACCCTAATGCTGCTGATCTTAAAAAAGAGAGAGATGGTTGATAACCATCTGATTTGTGTGATGCAGAATGAAGCAATGGACAGAGCACCTTATAGGTACCAGTAACAGAGACGAGAATATTTAAAACGTCAGACAAATGAAAATTTTGTTTACTGCCTTTTAAGTTACCTGCCACCTGACCACCACTTTCTGCAAATAAAAACAAAAGAGTAATTATGCCCAGTATTGTCATGATATTGATAAACCATCCATTTTTGTTGTTCTTCAATTAAGGTAAAGGGGGGGGGGGGGGGGTTGGGGCTCTTGTATGATATGTTGACCTAGCTCACAAAATTTCCAGCTAAAATCAAACAATTTGAAAAGAAATTAAGAAAGGCCACATAATGCAAGATGTGTGCAGAGAGAGGAGAGTAGTTACGGAACTAGTAACTTTGAAGGGGACAATTTAGTTCTAGTAAATGTTTCAGTTATAAAACTTTTATCAATGTGGGCCTTCTTAAAACATAAATTTCTTATTTAGTTGAATTGTGCAATTGACATTGATATTAGTTTGTTACACCCATCTTGATCTTATGTCAGAGTCTTGTCACCAAAACTGATAGTAATCTGCTGCATTGTTGTCTAAACATGACTGTGGTCGAAGCTTGCATAATTTTAATTGTGTCAATTATGTCAAATTTTGGTCGTGATTGAAAATGCCTATCAGCCATCAGTTTAGTATTTATGTGGGGAATTAGTAAGGATAGCCCACACTGTCTCGTCTTCACTAGATTTTTATTCTTCTCCTCTTCTATTCTCGCTAGGTTTCACAACTGTCACAACTCCTCGACTCGACTGATATGAAAGATTACTTCGACTGAAAGCTAAATAAATCACAGACAATTGTTCCTTATCTTTGCGGGACACCTTAGTTAAAAAGAACGCTGATTGGCTAAATACGAATCTTCCAGACATAAGAATAACAAAATTTCCATATCCAATTTCCAAAATTTGATATCTATGCTATTATTCTGTTTCCGACATTTAGTCAAGTTTTTCTGTTTGCTATCAAGATTAGTAATCAAAAATAGTCCCAATTGCTCGTTAACAACACAGCTAAAGCAAAGCCTAGACTAGGTTTCTTTTCAATTGCTTAAAGTATTACAGACAGGATATCAAAGTTATGAAAGAGAAAAGAATTTCTTCAAAGCCTTAGCATTTTGCAAAACTTTCATAGTTCAATCATGTTCTATGACATCTGAATCACTAATTATTAGCATTGACCAACCAGCCTTATTCTTTGTATAAGAGTTTTTTGACAGTTATAATAAACCCTTTACCCCCAAATATCAATATGCATATTCTCCATACTTTCTCTACACTTTTCTTAGGGTTCTGAAAAAGAGAATTTGTTTAACAATCAAGAGCTTCTTTAGCTGTTGATCATTTCCCTTATTCTCATGACCTTAATGTTTGAATCAGGGGTGATCTTGTAAGGAGAAAATAGATGCCAGTCACTCTTAGGTGTTAAAGGGTTAAATGACATGACTTGTAAAGTTTACTCACCTTGAACAGACTTTGTTTGTTCATTCCCATCAGTTGTTTTACTCCTTACAGAGGTGTTTGGAGCCTCTTCTGTGGAGAAAGGAAAGAAATATCGCATTAAGGAATGCTACCTTGCTACCTGCAAACAGACTTTTGTTTAGAAGACAAGAAAAAATTAGAAATGCTGGATGTCTTAACGTCCGTTGTGTTCTCTCACTTCCACATTGTTTCAATGTTACTTTCTGTCCTTAAAATCAATCTTGCCCCCTTTTTTCAAGAGGAGGCTTTAAATGACAATGTTAGGAGAAATTACATATTGATAAAGTTCTACAGGTATTTCCATACATTTCCTTATAAGTTGAAAGTAAAGCAGAAACAGCTACAGAAGTTCAACATACACTAAATAGCTTCATCTCAATCAGCAATTACACACAGATCTTTGCTTTTCCAAATTTAATAGTTTTAGAAACATAACTCTCTTATTGCATGATTGACAAATTGAGATTAGTTTGTTGCACCCATCTTGATCTTATGTTAGAGGCTTTTCAACAGAACTGATAGTAATACACTGTATTTATGTTTAAATGTGTGGTCAAAGCATGGTAGATATCAATTGTGTTCATTGTGTCAAGTTTTGGTTGTGATTGAAAATGCCTGTTAGCTGTCACTTTGGTATTCATTCATGTTGTTCTGTTTGCTATCAGGATTAATAATCAAAAATAGTCCTGGCTGCTCATTAACAACACAGCTAAAGCGAAGCCTGGACTTGGTTTGTTTTCAGTAACTCAAAGTGTTACAGACAGGATATGACAGTTATGCTACAGAAAAGAATTTCTTCATAGCCTTGGAACTTTGGAAAACTTTCGTAGTTCAATCATGTCCTATGACATCTGAATCACTAATTTGCAGTATTCACCTACTGGCCCTATTCCTTGTATTAAAGTTTATTGACAGTTATAATTAAATGACATGACTTGTAAGTTTACTCACTTCGGAAATACTTTGTTTGTTCATTCCCATCGGTTTTTTTTCTCTTTAAAGAAACATTTGGAGCTTTTTCTGTGGAGAAAGGAGAGAAATGTCACATTATGGAATGCTACCTAGTATGGAAACCTGCGAGAAGACTTCCATTTAGAAGACAAGAAAAAAGTTGAAATGATGGATTTCTTAACGTCCGTTGTGCTCTCTCACTTCCACATTGTTTCAATGTTACTCTCCTTAAAATCAATTTTGCCCCCTTTTGGCAAGAGGAGGCTTTAAATGACATAAGAACTTTTGAAATGAAATAAGAACTTTGTCTGTAGCATATTTGATTCATTGATTTGTTTCTCACAATTTTCTTGACAGTTACATTCTTATCGTAATTTATTCCTGAATGTAACATGCAATGTAAAGGTTATTCACCTGGTACACACTCATTTCTTAAAGTTGTGGCTGAAAAGAGGGGTGCTTATTGGAAGGAATTTACTTAATATGCAGGGTGTTAAGTAAGGAACTATGAACTGTTCTAATTTTTCTGTAGTTGAAGCTTAAAAAAGTTATAAATAAAGTGGTACTTGAATCAGGTTTTATTTTCATTAGGGAAAGTAGGAAAGAGGGGGAAGGTGATTGTTCAATGCAGGGAGGGGGGGGGGGCAGGGGAAGAAAGAGTTCTTATTTGATATATTGGCCTAAGGGGAGGGCTTCTTAAAAGGATGGAGTATGGGTACTTATAGAAAGAAAGACAGCAGTTGATCATAGAGTTACACTGGAAGATGCTGATAGACAAGACAAGACAACTTTATTTTACCATTCTTCAGCTGCAAGGCTTTTCCTTAAGTGTCATACCTTCAATAAAAATTACATATAAACATTTACAATAAGATTACAAGGTTAGGTAAAATTTGCTAAAATTTACAAATGAGGTTGAGGGTGAAAAAAAAATCAGATAAAATGTCCTTTAAGCTGCTTTTCAAATGCAAAACTTACTTTGTTGCTGCATGCTAACCAGATTTTTTTAAATTCTTCCATGAATTTTTCAGTGTCATACCTGATTTACTGATTTCTTCCTCACAATTCTCCTGATGGTTGAAGTCTAATTTCATTATTCCTAAATGTAAATGCAATAAAATATTTACTGACCTGGTATAGACTCTCCTTGTTTATTCCACTCTGTTTCTTCACAGTCTAGAGAGCTGTGCAGAGCTTTACCTACAGAAAGTAAAGAGAAAAAAGAATTTATCTGAGCATTCCAGCCAAAGCTCTCTGAAAAGTGTCATAAATTAACTTAGAGTACCCTCCTAGCAGGAGAATTAAAGTTAAAGCTACTGTACTTTACCACTAAATGTTTCAGTTACTAATAAAAATAATAGTACTGAGCCTAAAAAAAAGACACCAACCAAGTTGACCATGCTTGTTCAACTTTCAACAGTACCTGCTTTATGTCTTGAGTAAAATAACGATAGAAAGGATTTCCCAAGCAAATGCACTTTACCAAGTACATATTTAAAAACTTTGTGATACTGTTCTTAATCTTGTGGGTAAGATTATTACATAACAATTAAGTTCACCTTCCTGAGTATTTACCATTTTTGACCATTTGTTTGATTGAGCTCTAAAGAATTTATGGTTATCATAGGTCCAAGTTGACTCAAGGCTGATTCAACTTTTTACCAGACTACCTGTTTTATCAGTTATTAGACCATTTAAAGCTGAAACATTTAAATTTAAGTAAATTTACCAAAGACAAGGTTCTTCATCTTTATCACAAGACTCTTACAAGGCTCCTCCCAGCTGTACTTCTCCAAGTACTTTTCACGTAGAAATCTTGACTCTGAAAGTCGCACATCTCTCTCTTTCTGACGGACACGCTTGATTTCTTTGGCCCAGTCTTTAGGATCTTCAGAGTCTACCACACTCTGTGAGCCTAAAGTGACTTTCTTCAGAGCTTCTCCGAGTCCTGAATTACCACTGACAAGTACAGGCAGACCAGCAGATAACGCTTCCAGAGCTGTTATTCCAAAACCTTCTGTCCTGGATGGCATTATTGCAAGATCCATTTCACAGAATAAGTTTGCCAGCACTTCTCTGTTATCATCATAGCTGCAAACAATAAGCTGATTATGACTAATGCCATTATGGAGCAACTTTTCTGCCACAATATCTGCTTTTCCTCCAGCTGCACAGACAAACTTGAGTTTGTAAGATTCATCTTTCAACTCAGCAATTGCTTTGGCAGCTATGTCGTACCCTTTGACATTGAAATCTCCACAGTTGTCACCACTTCCAATTACAAGAATACAGAATGTTCTTCTTTCTTCAGTGGCTTGCTTTACAGCCAAAAATTCAGAGAAAATGCTTGGAGTAAGGTCAAAAACTTTTTCTTCCTGTTTAACTGGACGAAGGTAACGCTTGTAAGCTTCTGCCAACTTGGGTCCAATTGTGATAACTTGATCAGCCATTTTACAGAGTTGGATTTCTGTTACTTGCATTTGTTCACCTTCTGAAATGTTTCTGTACATTCCATCTTCTTCAGGAGCAGAGTGAACAACTTGAATCCATTTGCAATGACTGTAATTTGGATTTCTCTTGATGGAAGCAATTGGTCGGCCAAGGTGAACTCCATGACCAATGACACAGTCCATTGTATGGTCTCTTGGAGGAAATGACAGGCAAAGAACTGGGTCATAACCAGGAACTCTATCTGCTTTGATGAGCTTCACTTTGTGACTTTCTGCACTGCTCCTGTCCACTTCACTGCAATTTGGAAGCAAGACACTAACATCCACATTATGGTGTTTAGCTAACTGGATCGCCAGCTCTCGGTTGATAGTTGACAAGTCCCCATTAGTTGATGATTTCCACTCACTACTTAGCAACGTGACTTTCAGTGTCATGTTTTCCTGGTCTTCCTGCGACACACAGGCCACACTTGGAATCATGAAATCCTACAACAACAAACAAGAATGGACTATTGACAATAAGCTGTAAAACAATATTAAATCACAATAATGCATGTCCACTTGGTATGTAATGTCAATTCGTTTCTAAAACTGCAGTTTTATCCTTTGCCAAAAAGTCAGGTACATGTAGATTGAGACAAATTTAAACCAGGAAAATATTAAGTTACTTTAGAGATGACTACACTGTCACTGTCACTGTCACTGATAACAACCATTACAGTTACAGCTGTACAAGGAATTAAATTTGAAAGTAAAAGTTATCCTTAAAGGGTCTTTCTTTTCAACTCACTTTAAAATTGGTACATGACTTTTTTAGTCAAACTGAAAAGATTTAGGTGAAAAAGAAAACAAGGGGCAAATTAATGTTTTTGTCAAAATAAAAGCTTGGTATTTGTAATAGATTTAGATTTCTCTTCCTACCTTCTGTAGCATTGACATCACAGGTAGCTTTTAATTCTGAAAAATTACCCTGGAAAAAAAACAATACAAAATGTGAGTTTACTGAGTCCAATTAGGCTTTCTATTTCCTCTAAGAGTGTTGTTGAGGCCACTTAAGGCAGTACTGGAGGCTAATTTGACCTTTTGGAGAAGCTTTAACCCATTGACTCCTACGTGTAACACGTGCCTACCCAAAAGTTAAAATTTTGGAGAAACCGGAAAAGTAAACACAATGCGCAGTAAAGTTTGACAAATCTTTTTTTCCCAAAAACAAGCTCACGTGAAAGAAGACCATTTAAATAACTTACTATCAACGAGGAAAGCAATAGATGCATATTAAGTTTTTACTCTAAAATCAAGATAAAAGATAAAAATCAGTAAATTTTTGCGCACGTGTGCAAAAAAAGTATGCGGATCGGATTTCAAAGTGAATATGCAAATTCATCAGTGTGTGGAGAGATCTCATGTTACATGGAAATTATAAATGAGGAGAAAGACAAAACTGACCAAGGAACGTTTCGGGAAGAAAGCTTTATTCAAAACAGTTCTTGATTTTCTGTTAGAACCGAAAAACGTACGAATTTCTTACGTGTGCGAAACCCACGAAGTAGAATTCATCATGCTTAGATCGATGTTTACTTGACTTCACGGCTAGAATATTGCGCAGCGTTGTGTTGAAAATACTGAAAGTTCTACGTTTTAACACAAAATCTTCTATTAAACAATACTTTTTGGACATCTCATTACTCAAACGTGATATTTACCGTGCCTTTGAATCTTCATAATGTCTCTAGGCCTCGCTTGAAGTCCGATAGTTTGGTTTTCGCTTTACGGCCCTAATTCGCATCGCTTTAGAGAATTGTAGTGTTGTCGACTCGAAAGCTTATTTTGTCGCCTTTAAGACCGTGATGTCCATTATTTTTCGAGCAGATTATTCTACAGCATTTTTCCTTTTCATTCTGTGTTCCAGAAGGTCTAAAGTGGTGGGAAAGGAACAGAAAATCCGACTTGAAAATATTGAAAGTCGGCCGCGCGTACGCCATTTCTTTGTAGTTGATCATTTCTTGTGAACGCATAAAATGACGCCTCTGTACTACCCCCTAAAGTTATCAAAATAACTGCGCAAAAAACGGATTCTGATTGGTTTATAGATCCTCTAACAACAGAGGAAGTTTGGAGACAAAATTCTGCTTAGTAGGGGAGATAGGGGGGAAAGCGTCTCTCGCGCAAGTCCCCCACGCGGCACGGGCGGTTACGGGCGGTTCAGGTGTCAATGGGTTAATTTAAGATCATTGTTTCAATTGCCTATTTGCACAATTTCACAATTGGAAAATGGCCCATTCTTGAAATGAGAAGTTGTTTCCAAGGACAAACCTTGCTGCAAATAGAGATAAGATCCTGGTCTAATGGTGTTTGCCATTCTTGTTGTATTTCCTTCAGATGACATTTCTGACACATCCATTTCAAAAGGAACCATTTCATAATGAAAAATAAAGTACTATGATCTTACCATGGATGGAATTCAGAAAAGAGATTAACAGTAGCTAACTATTTAGTCACTTTCCAAGCAACAAAGACACATTTATTTTTGCTAGCCTTTTTATTCAAAGAATTTTCCCTCATGTTTCCAATTTTCAGAAAGCATCACAACCATAAAGCAGCCAATAACCACACCTTTAATTTTGTCACACCATGTTAAAATGAAAGTTGCTATCATCAAATGCCCACACCATATCATATTTTTGTGGTTCCTATTGCCACTTTTTACAAATTAATCGCCTCTCCAACTGTATTATCTAAAGAAGGTTAGTACTTTGATCAGAATCTATGCAAACTAAAACTTTGCATGACAAAGGACAATTATAGCACAGTATGCCACTGTCTGCCAAAAACAAATGACAAGGTATTAGATAATTAAATTGTCAAAATTGAATATTACTTAGCAGACTGCACTGAAAATCTTTATTACCATCAGCTTTTTGTCTGTGCCAAACCATTGAGTGGTATTAATTAAAAATGGCTTGGATTTAGAGATTTTTTTCCTCCACGATGACTTTTCAAACACACCCCCTAATTCCATTAAATTTCACCAATATCCATGGCACTGAGCAAAATACAATTTTTCTCTTCAGATTATATGTAGAATCATGTATCCCATGTGATAATTTCAAGTCATTCTAACAAACCGTCTGTAGTTATTTCATAAATTATTTGAAACAAAATTCACTCAATTTAGCGTCCAATACCACCTTAATTTGGTGTTGAAAATGTACCTTAACCCATTAGCACCTACGTGTAAAGCGTGCCTATCCAAAAGTTAAAATTTTGGAGAAACCGGAAAAGCAAACACAATGCGCAGTAAATATTTATAAATCAGCATTTCCCAAAACCAAGCTCCAATGAAAGAAGACCATTTAAATAACTTACTTTCAATGAAAAAAGCGACAGATGCTTATTAAGTTTTTACACTAAAAATCGCTAAAATTTTCGGTATGTGTGCAAACAAGTTATGCGGATCCGGATTGTAAAGTGAATATGCAAATTTGGCAGATATGTTAAATGGAATTTGTAAATAAGCAAGACGAAACTGACCAAGGAACGTTTCGGGAAGAAAGCTTTCTTCAAAACAGTTGTTAATTTTCCGTTAGAAGCGAAAAAAGTACGAATTTCTTACGAGTACGAAACCCACGAAGTAGAGTTCATCGTGCTTAGCTCGTTGTTTACTATAGACGTCACGGCTAGTAAATTGCGCAGCGTTATGTTGAAAATTCTGAGAGTTCTACGTTTTGACAAAAAAATATTCGATTAAACAGTACTTTTTGGTCATCTCAGTACTTAAACATGATATTTACCGAACCCTGGAATCTTCATAATATCGCTAGGTCTCGCTTGAAGTCCGAAAAGTTCGGTTTCACTTTACAGCCTCAATTCGCATCGCTTCAGAGAATCGCAGTATTATCGACTCGAAAGCTTATTTTGTCGCTTTTAAGACCTTGATATTCATTATTTTCGAAGCAGATTATACTATAGCATTCTTGGCTTTCATTTTTGTGTTCCAGAAGGTCTAAAATAATCGGAAAGTAACGGAAAATCCGACTTGAAAATATTGACAGTCGGCCGCGCGGGAATCTGAGATTTCAAATTTGCATGTTTTCTCACGATAGCTTAAAGACAACCCACATGTACACATTTGAAGATATCAAGAGGATCTTTATATCTGAAAGTGGCATCGAACAGGTCCTGAAACGTACAGAAATAGTAATTCCTCAATCGAATACCTTTGATTTGCTGAAGCACTTATAAACTGTTGCTGATTATTGCCACTGTTTTTCACTGTTAAAAGCCTCTAAAAGGAATGACCACAACTTAGCCGGTGAACCAATCACTCGAGGACATGATTACGAGCTGGATATATATGGAACTTAACCAATGATTGATGCAAACTCTCCCTCGGTAGGAAGTCAGCTCAGTCTTCCGCACTGACTGTGAGAGAAAATATTGCTATGGGTGGGTGTGTAATTCTCGATTAATTTAGTCACGTGATTAATTTACCAGCAATGATGCAGTCAGTGGAATGCGGGACGGTGGATTAAAGAGTAGGCCTGACAACGTCCTTTGGGGGTTAAATGGGTACGATACTGGAATGCGGTTAAATGATAACCCATAGATACCAGCACTCATTCGATAATATTACAACAAAACGAAACGGACAATTCATCTTTAATAGAGAGAATTACTAATAAAATTGGGAGTTATAATTTGGTTATCTGTTATATACTGCATTCTGAGGGTAATATCCTCATTTCGTACGTCTTTCAATTTTTTCTAAAATATCTAGGAAACTGGGGGTAAAAAAAACAACCCTTTTTGGCCTGTTATAGCTCAACACGAAACTATGAATCTACTTTTTACCTACCAACCTAATGACACAACACATCACTCTATACTTAAGGAGGGGTTGGCTGCTAAAACAAAGTCTTTCCTCAAGAAAATGATAAAGCTTCAGGATTTAGGGCAGCATAAACATCACACTGAATTCTGGTCGTTCTACAGTTGGCTTTCTTTCCCAGCTCTTGAAATAAAAGAGTCATTCTTGATTCTTACCGAAGCCAAATCTTTTTCCTATATAACAAACCCTTTATAGTACATATTAAATCGGTGCTGCAAGGTGGTTCATCTCTTTATTATTCATACCCTTTTATATCTCTGATAACCTTTCTAACTGATGTTTTAAGTAAAGTTTCATTTCCAAAATTTGACATAAACTTGTTGCTATTTCACGACTAACATTATCAAAGGCTGACTTACTTTAAAACCTTGAAATCACTTTCTAGGAATATGGCTTTTTAATTTTTAAACTAAATCCAAACATTTAACAGATCTGCATGTGGCAGAATCAATACATTATATGTACAAAATTCTTGAATTTAATTTCATACAAGTAATACAAAAAAAATGCTGAAATACACATTCAAATAAATTTATAAGTTAATAGATGAGAAATTATTGAAAAAAAAACCCCTCTCTTTCTCCAAAAAAGTGGTGCTGGCAAACTATCTTCTTTCCCACTTGTGATCAAAATCGTTTGTTGAAAGAAAGAACAGACTCCGACGAGACTTCTTTCCAAGCAACTTGCAATGAACGTGAAACTAAATTATGTTAAGATATAAGCAGAAAATAAACTTATAGGTCACCAAATCAAGTTTGATTCATTTCCAAATGAAATAAGAATGGAAATGGGTAGACCATAAAACTAAACACCACAACAGACAGAGGCTTGTTTTGGGACCAGACAGTTTACTAGATGTATATATCCTACGTAAATAACACCCTAGAATATTACATAACAAAGATATTGGACGAATACACTAAACCAACGGTCCAGTAATCAAGAATAGATTACAGAAACGAATGAGATTAAGCTACAATCAAAACTGTCGATGGTGTGGGTGGGAGGGAAACTAGAACTCTCTTGAAGCTAGAAATAAACTTGTTGCTTGCTTCCTTGCTAGATTACTAATAACACGTGCACA